TCTCCAAGCAGCTATGGAAGGCTTCCAAGTGACTACAATGGAAGAAGCCTCTGAAGTAGGCCAAATATTTGTCACCACTACAGGAAATATAGATATTATTTCCAAGGAACATTTCTTAAGAATGAAAGATGATGCAATCGTTTGTAACATTGGGCACTTTGATTGTGAAGTGGATGTTGCTTGGTTGGACAGTAATGCCAAAAAAGTAAATATTAAGCCTCAAGTAGATCGCTATGAATTGGAAAATGGAAACCACATTATTGTACTTGCTGCTGGGCGTCTTGTCAACTTAGGTTGTGCCACTGGACATTCCTCATTTGTCATGTCCAACTCTTTTACCAATCAAGTTTTGGCACAAATTGAGTTGTGGACAAAGCACAATGCTTATCCTATTGGAGTACACACTTTGCCTAAAAAGTTAGATGAGGAAGTAGCTGCACTTCATTTGGAACATCTTGGTGTGAAACTTACTAAACTAACACCCAAGCAGGCCAAATATATTGGTGTACCTGCTGAAGGACCATTCAAACCTGATCACTACAGATATTAATTCTGTGATAACTCTGGATAAAAGTAAACACCAAACTATTTTTCTGAAATATTTTGTGAAACATATATAATATACAACACAATATTACTTGTAAGTTACAAGACAGTTAGCACTGTATGTGTGATTTTATATATTACCTGTTGAACATAAAAGCAATAAAACATCTTTTCAGTTCTCATTTTTTACTTAAGACAATTTCTTAAATATTGTTTTGCCTATGATACACATTCAATAAACAAGTCAGTAATACTAGAAGTTCTTTTATTTAAATTATGATGAATAAAACCTTAATAATTCTTTATCTGTAGGTTTTAGGATACATTTATCTTTCAGATTCACTACCCATCCAGGTTCCAACCCATAGAAAATCTGACGAGGATCTTTCCTTTCACACAGCATTTCATAAAATGAGTCATTTTCTACTTGTGGCAATTCATATCCATATTTTTGTGACAATTTTAGTCTTTCTTGTGATATTTTCTCTGGATCAGCTAAATACCCTCTAGTCTCAGCACTTGTGTAATATTCAATGACGTCTGGGGGAGGTATCATCCTCCTTGGAATGGCTGCTCCAGTTTTGAAAAAGTGTTTTGGATTTTTCAACAGAAATAGACTATGAGGGTCATAATATGCAGTAGTTATAACTCCACCATTCCTCTCAACAGCAGCAATCACTTGTTCACTTGCCCATTGCACTTCAATATTAATTTTTGCTGCAAAAATATCTGCACCCTCATCTGTCAAGTTTATACCAAACTGTTTCTGCTCCGGATAAAAATTGTATAATCCTGATTTTATAATACTTGCAAGATCAACAGGAACTGACACATCAATTCTATCTGTGTCAATTAAACTCTGTAGTTGCAATAATGACAGCGGTGGATATTCTCTTCTATGACTGAAATAATTAACAAATATTGCATTAAATCATGTTGTAACAGACTCAACCCTAACTGGATAATACATATTAAATCACAGAGTTCATATTTCTTTCATGACAATGATGTTTTGCTAAAACACTTGTTTTAAAATATATTATTTTTTTAAGGAAACAATTTGTATGTAGGGATGCTCTGATTTGTGTCTCCCTAAAGTATACTTACTGATGTCCTCTGTAGTATGGTTCTTGGGGCATACGAAGATAAAAAGGATTGTTTCCTGTTTCATATCCCAATCTCATATAATTTTGTCTTTGACCTGATCCTTTATTTCCTGCACCATGTTTGTCTCCGCCGTGTTGACCTCGTCCTCGTTTTTGCTACGGAAATGAAGCGATTTAATAATTACTAATAAACCTGTGTATCTCCTAATTACAAGAGCAATAACACAAGTCTATTTGAAAATCTGTGGGTAAGGGGTAGGCTTATATATATCTTTAAAATATTTTCAATGCAAAAAACTAAAATATACTGGCAAATATCCTTACTGTAACTTTTGAACCTGGGTTATCGCGTATATTACCGACAGAAATTCGGGGTAACGATCTTAATATTGACAAGGATTTCTCCGTTATTTGTCGAGAACCCATGGCCCCAATTCAAAATAACTTATTTCTTTTATGTACTTAATGATATATTTTTGAATAACTTTTAGGTTATGTACAATTAGAGCTGAATAGTAAATGTCAAAGTCAATTTCAATTATTTTTTAATTTTATGTCTTGGTAACATAGACCTTTAGGTCATAATCAATTTCAATTGTGACGAATGCCAAAGAGTAGATATAAAATTTGTGTTTAAAACTGGTTTAAGTACACTCTACCCAAACGGTTTTTTACAAAATCCTTTACGAATATTGTAAAGTAAATGAATAATATTTTTGCTTTGTTTACAATTTGTTGGAAGGTCACGTTTCATAGATTCTAAAAGTCTGATTATCAGTATTCCTTAAATGAATCCTTTCGAGTCACTACTAATTCTTTAATTTATTCTTTGATTAAAGTGCTCTTAAAAGTTGCCTGTTACCAGGCCATAAAATTAAAAAAAGTTGTCAACTTGTTAATGCTGTCAAGCTGTCAACTTGATAAGGATAAAACTTTTTGAGGAATATTATTATTGTTAAAATTGAAATGCAGTGATTGATTAGTTGAGTTTTTATCTTTTCTCCGGTGTTTCTTTACTGCTAATTTTTGCTATTATAATAATAGAAGAAGTTATAAAAAGTGTAACGAAATAAAAATGGATTCGTTTTATAACAATCCGATTAGACAGAAAATAAATAAAATATTCGATAGTCACCTAATAACAGATGATAGTGAAGCCTTATACACAGTGTCGGGTTTGTGCTCAGCAAACTCAGCATACACAAGAAGAATTTTGGTTAATGAAATTGAAAAAAGAGACTTGTTGGTTAACAAAGCAGTCCTAGTTGAATATAACAAAGTTAGAGAAAAGCTACAATGCTTGTTAAATTCGATTTCTTCTTTGGATGTTGCCGTTTCTGACATGTCTAATAGACTTCAAGAGTCTAAAACAAAAACTCATCATATAATTACACAAACTACTAAATTAAAAGAAGAGAGAAAGAAAACCAAGAAGAAACTCTTATGGGTGGACGCATTTGTCAAGGAATTTCAAATAGCACCGGAACAAATTAAAATTCTGTATAATGTTACACCTCTTACACTTGATTTCTTTAATACATTGTCACAGATAGAAAAGTTATATGAAAATTGCAAATTACTTGTAAAATATTGGTATCAAACACCTGCTTTTGAAATAATGGAGATGATTGGGCTTCAACAAGAAGTAGCAATTGAAAAATTATACCACTGGACTATTGGAGCTTGTCTCCTTGTTGATTCACCAAATAATGCTTTAGTACCTAAAGCATTGGGTAAGTTTGAAAACAGACAGGTTCTATTTTGTAACATAATTGATGAATATTGTAATGCTAGAAAAGCAACTGTTGTGCAATTATTTATTGATGTCCTTACTAAAGGCAACAATGGTTCAAAGCCAATAGAATTCTATGCAAATGAAACGACAAGGTACATCGGAGATATATTAGCATGGGTGTATCAGATAATACCTGTTGAAAAAGATAATCTTTGCACATTATTAAAATATTGTACTATGCCTGATAAAGATGAGAAAATCACAACTGCATTGACAAACATTATGGAAGCTTTATGCCCTTTGCTTAAAGTTAGAGCTGAACTTATATTAACACCAGATAAGGATGCTCTAGTTTTATGGTCAATTACCAATTTAATGTTATACTATAAGAATATTATACAGACTATAATAACTAAAGGTCATTTAATTGACACTTTTGATGAATTGATAAAAAAAAGCCAGGACATATTTCTTGTAACTCTAGATAACAGAGTACAAAAAGAATTGAGTCATGGTGTGAAAGCTCCTCCTCTAGATTTAAATCCATCTGTAGTTGTGACTGATTTGATTAGTTTTCTCAGAGATTTGATGAATTTGTCTAACAATGTTGTAACTACTGATAAAAGAATCATTATAACACATATATTAGATCCACTGTTGCATGCAATTAATGAAACTGCTTGCCATTTAAGTTCTACAGATATGTCGGTTTATATGTTGAACTGTATTTATCATATACAGTGTACATTATCTTTGTATACTATTCTGGACGAATATAATGAAAGGCTGCAGGCACAATCCGAGGCGCAAATAGACACTCTAACATCAGAACAAGCTAGCTTCCTTGTTGCCAATTTGAACATGGGACCAATGTACACAATTTTACAGGAAAAGATCAGTGGTCCCCTTTCTGCCATACCTGGTATGGACACATCAACACTAAAAACATTTTTAAATAAATTTGATATGTTCTTAGTAACACCTGATGTGTACATTTTACCACAGCTAAATTTGCTCATAAGTCATAATCACAAATCTGTTATTAAGAAAAGAGCTTTTGAAGTGATTTTTGCAATATATGAACAATTATACAAAGCCATACATGACCCGGCCAATAGTTATGTGGATCCACAAGGAATAGTTCGCAGAACTCCTGAGGAGGTTAAGAAATTTCTTATGAATTAATGTATAAGAAGACCATATTTTTTAACTTATTTATTTCAGAGCCAATCAGTTTATATTTTCATTTTATGTATTTATCTTATTCTTTTGTCCCATAAAATATCATGTTTGTTGCTGCTAAGATGTGATTTTAAGATCTTTAAAATAAGAGCTTAAAATTTAAATATTGTAATGAATTTAACATCAAATTGTTGCGATTTCAAAAGAATTCTTATGTTCACCTATAATAAATTCTATAAATGTATGTAAACACTTAAAGTTATTGTTTAAATAAGGATTGTAGTAAATATTATGTATTTCTACTATTTAACAACATAAAAATTGTTTAGTTTTTAGAAATTGTTTACCTTAATGTTAAATTCAATAAGTTGTCTTCACTTAGATTAAGATTATGGGTAATTTATTTTAATACATATTTAAGAAATAAAAAAATTATTTAATGTTTTAATTAAAATTAAGGACAAGGGCATGTTTATGATGATAGTTACGATTAACGTTGTCAGTTTGTGGAAATTAGACTTGGCTTAAAGGTTTCGTAGCCATGCCATAAAAATATCTTTCACAATACCTCCATGTTATTTTTGACATTGACTTTGACAATTGTGCCTGGCAAGGACCAGGCGGGAAAGAAAAGGGACCTCTCACCTTTCTTCTTGTAAACAAACTTTAAGATACCATTTATGTTACTTAAAGCAGAGTCGTTATTTTATAAAATCCTTGAAACGAAAAGATTCCTACGAATTACCAAAATGGCTAAAAGCTCCTTTGAATATGTGAAAAAGTTTGAACTGGACGATACATTATTACCAAACACCTGGATAGTTGTGAGACTTGACGGCAAATGTTTTCATAAATTTGCTGACGACCACAACTTCAAAAAGCCGAACGATTTAAGAGCATTGAAGTTAATGAACTATGCTGCCTTTTCTGTGATGCGAGATTTTAGTGATTTGTTAATGGGATTTGGACAAAGTGACGAGTATTCTTTTGTTTTTAAGAAAGACTGTAATTTGTATAAAAGACGTGCTGCTAAACTTTTGACTACAATTACTAGCAAATTTTCAACTTCATATACTTATTATTGGAATAAGTTTCTTGCAGACCAACAATTATTATATCCCCCTTCATTTGATGGCCGGATTGTATTGTATCCCAATGAAGACACCTTGATTGACTACATGAAATGGCGACAAGCAGATGTTCATATAAACAATTTATATAATACTACATTTTGGACGTTAGTTCAAGAAGGCAAACTAAGCCCTACACAGGCAAGTTTTAACTGTTATGTTATAACCTTAAATAAAGGTCATTCTTTTAATTTTTATATTTTGTTTCAGGCAGAGAAAAGGTTATGTGGAACAGTCTCAGCTGATAAAAATGAAATATTGTTTAAAGAGTTTAATATAAATTATAACAATGAATTAGAAATATTTAAAAGGGGAACACTTTTGTTTAGAAAGAATATAAACATTGATGAGTCAAATAAATGTTCTACAGTAATAGTAGATGTTCATGATGACATGTTGAAGGATAGTTTTTGGAAAGATCATAAAGATTTATTCACAATAAAATCTAAGCAACATTTTATTTACAATGGACCAATGACAGAAATAATTAGTGCACAATTACATGGCAGAAAATCTGTAATACCAGAAACAACATAATAAATTAAAGATTTATTAAAAAAAAATTATACCATATACTGTTTTTACCTATATTTTACACAAAATTGATTGTTGACTCATTTACATGACATCAATATTTAAGTTTATGAACCTTTAATCTTATATCAACTTATTCTTTTCCCATGGTATTTAACCGTTGGGTGAGTGTACTTTGTATGGAAAAAGGAATTTTGTTGACTGTATTTTTGCTTGTTATTCAACCTTATATTAACTTTAGAACTGCGAAATCAACACAGTCACACTTCCATGCCAAAATCACAACAATTTAAATAAAATTTGTTACACAAATAGTCTAGAGCCTGAGAAAGGAAATAGGCTTCTCTTTAATGTGAAAAAAGAGATAAAAGGGGGATGAATGGAGGGAGAAAGTTGTATGGAGGTATTGTAAAATTACATCACAAAATAGGAGATGAGAGTTTGTATATAAATATGCAAGGTTTATATGAATGTACCCAAAGATAGTATTTCATGTGGGCGAAATTGCAGGCGTTGGTTGTAGGACATATTGGAAAAAGGCACTTAACAGCGGACAATACTTAAATAAAAGACAATTTTTTAAACATTTTTTATTTTATCTAATACAATAATACATGATGCTAACATTAATAAAACTCTTCTAATATAATGTGGTGTTTGTAATTTACAGACTAAAAATAAAACAGCAAATTTGCCTTGTTCAAAATTTAAATGAATATTTAAACAAATTACTTGTCTATGAAACAATTAAATGTTTTACAGTACATACTCAAAAATAAATTAGAAATATAATACAGGTTTAATGCAATTAAGCAAAATAGAAGACAATAACAAAATCAAGATTAATTATATTAAATAGGAAATCTATAATAATTTGTAGTATTAGCTATTTTGATTATTCAATGTCGCCCACTTTTAATATATTGCACACATAAGTGTGCCATGGAATGCTTGAATATATTTTAGATTAAATCAATTTTTAACATTTATAGAAATTTATGCATTCTATGTTTGGTTTACATTTATTTCTTAAATACTGTGTAAATTCTGCTCTGTATATCTATTTAACAATTTGAACTGGAATTGTCATAACACATACAACATTATTTACATTGCAAGGTTGCTTGAATATAAAGCTTTTACATTGTTTAGAAAATGGGAATATAGTTATCAATTTTAGCACGGTGCTTTTGGGCGACACATTCGCTTATCCACACAATGTTCCTGCATTCCTGCTCCTTCAGCTTGAGGTAAGAATAGAAAACTCCAAAGTGGAATTGTTGCAAAAATGCATGCACATTTAGGCTGACCTGAAATAAAGTTAATAGAATCAGTAATTATTGAATTTCTTCATTAGATCATATATTTTGTTTTTTACTGCAACTACGATGCCAATTAAATAAAAAAAAAATTATAAATTAAAACTTTTACATTTTTTAAATTAAATTTGACCAATAAAGGCAAAACAGTGTATTTTTTTCTGTTTAATATTGAATACATTACTAGAGGGTAAATTCGAAATTACCTCATGCTCAAAGAATTTATCTTCCAAAGTCTTGTCACCAACATTGCTGCCAGCACCTTCGAAAAGGGCAGCATACTCAGCATAATATTCAGCAACAGCTTTAACTTGCTCATAGTCATCAGCCCTGGCAAGTGCAGCTAAACCATCAGGGTTGAGTTTACCACAGCGAGGGTACAACTTTGCACGATCATCTTTAGACAGCTCAGTTCCAAATGAGTTGATAGTAATGATAATAGCACGACGATCAGCTTCAAACTGTGAAAAACATGTAAATTATGTTTCTAAAAATAGATTTAGAAACAAAGATTTTCTATTACAATTACAAACCACAACAACCATCTAACCTAATTACTTTCTATGTCGAAAATCACTGTTTTGTACATGTACTTTAAAAAGCTTTAGATGATGGCACTTATGATGACTTAGTGTGTGTGTAAATAAGTACAATCAATTTTTATCCCATTAGATTTGTGTAAAATTTTTTTACTTACAGCCAAAATTTCACACATAACATCAGCAGTAGAGCCCCCGATTTGCTTGCAGAATTCATAGAAAGCTTCCAAATAAGCTTTGTACAGGGTGTTGCGGATAATTTCAATGTTCATCTCATCAAGGTCCTGCTCACTAATGCAGTCTACAAAGAACGGAGCCAGGGGAGTGTCCACCAACACCGCATTGTACAACTCAGCCGGGGTGGCGGCTACGTGAATAGCTTCCATCTGCTCAAACGATCCCAAGGGGTGGCATTTAGGGATCAATTCAGAAATAGGTCTCTGGTGCAGAGTACCAGTAATCAAAAGTATGATATTGTCAATCATATAACTGTAAGTAATGAAGTCCAAGAACGTAGATAGTGGCTCCACTGAATGGTTTCTCAAGTGTTGGAATTCAATGACAAGTTTTTCACGAAGCTTGTCATCGATAGTGGATACTGACAAGGGGCTAGGTTCATTGGCCAAAAATGTGCCATAATCAGTTCCCTGCAAGTGAAGCTTTAAATCTGCAAGAAACATATACTGTTTAGAAAATTGTGGATTTTCTATAGTCTAAAGATTTGTTAATGATTGTTAATTAAGTTAAAGTTTAACATCGTAGTTAGATTACTACAAGATTGGGCAAGAAAGGTGTATATTGTAAAAATAAGACATTACGATACTTTACCTTCCAATGTTTCGCACTGCACCAAGTTCAAGTAATCGGATTGCTTCAAAATCCCGCACTTGAACCCGCGACACAACCCCTCTAAATACCCGGCGTCAATATTGAAAATGCACCCCTTCATTTTGATATAAACTTCTTTCCAATTCTTTTGGTATGTAGAAGTTTAATCGATCAAGAATGCAAAGATCGAGGGGAAGATGAAAACTTGTGTGAACAAAATTGATCATATGATATTTCCATAGATGAACATCAACCATAGACAATATTTTTTTATTCTGACAACTTCGATACTCGATGGACTGAAAAAAAAACTATACAACAATTTAAAAGAGCTGCTTTAGGGCCTGAGAGCATTATATGGTAATTGAGGGTTTATACCCTAACTCTAAAGCAACTTGTTATCCATATATAATATTTGGAGCAAAACCTAGCCAAAAATGCCTTTATATTTCTTACACTGGCACATAATACGTGAATGTTAAAATGGAACGCTTCCAAATGACATTGTCAAGTTTTAAGAGTTCCATTTCAAATTTGATTCTGACATTTCATTTGACGTTGTTGTCATAAACTGTAAATATTTCGCAACTGATTTAGAATAACAATACACTTGTGTGTTTCTGAATTCCTTACTATGATATCTATTAGGGCACTAGCCTTGCGTGGTATTATGGGAGGTAAGTACATATACCTGTACAAAGTATCTGCACCAGACAGAAAAATTTGCTTAAAAAATATCAATTGTAAACTTAGAAAAAATCTTTTTTTTCAGATGAAGCTTGTATGATAATGCAATTATGTAAACATTCCCATGATTCCAAGGTTGAGGAAGATGATGCATCAGCAAGAGCTGAATCTAAACGTATGGCAGAATTTCGGAAGAAGTTAAGAGAGACTACTCCTATCAAAGATCTTGGTGAACAGCCATTTACAAATCCAGCAAACCAAGAGAATGCTTTGCCACCATGGCCCAATGATACGAACCCCCATACTGGGGAGATTGGTGGACCTCGAGGACCAGAACCAACTCGGTATGGAGACTGGGAGAGGAAAGGCAGAGTGTCTGATTTTTGAATACATCTAGCATTAGCTAAAATTGTTATTAACAAATATAGCATTATTATTTATTTCAAAAATGGTTAATTAAAATTAGAGAGTTAATTTTGTCACAGACTTTTATTTACTTGCTGATTTTCCTAAAGTTTTTGGCATTTTTTTATTTGTTGAATCCTCCAACTCATTTGATTTATAATAATGTGGTGCTACTTCCAGTAACCATTTACTTTCTATTTCAGTAACTTGTCTCATAAATTCTTTTGATGTAAAAACTAGTTCATGATAAATAACCCATCTCGGTAACTCTTCAAATAAAGCACTGTTTGGATGTATCATTACAGTCTGCAAAAATAAAACAATAAGAGTTAAAATAAATTCAGGGAATCTACAATCTAAAAAATAAAACTTTAATATCTTTTTAAATTCAATAATTCATACAAGAAATTATATAAACACTTACTTGATTATGTTTAACAGTTTTGTAATGTCCACCTTTAGAAAATTTTGCTATGTGATAAAAATATCCAGCCGTAATTGCCTTTCTGATGTTTGTGTCATCTGATATACTTGAAACCATATCAATTTCAACTCTTTCCATCAATCCCACAAGTTGTTCTCGAACATCTCGAGCTCTTTTCATAGATCTGTATTGTATGAAGTTTTCATAACACCATTGCACTGAATAATCAGAGCCCACCCATTGATTATATACATTCATTAGTGTCAAATGATCTCCATTTCTATGAAAAAAGTTCTTTCTAGCTGTATCTGCATGAATTATTTTATCCTTAGGTCGATAAAAAACTGAGCTGTTAACTGACAGCATAGCAGCAATGCTTACAACATCTTCTGAACATTTATATCTGAAATGATGAAATAAAATATAGTAGGAACATTGACTTTGATATCCATTTGATGAATGTAAGTTTAACTAAATATGAAATGACAGGTTTCTTTAGTATCAACATTTTATACACAAAATCTTTCAAAATAATTTACTTATACAAAATTATTGTAACTTACTTTTCACTAGCTAATAGCATTTTAGCTAGCATAGGATCAGTGGGAAACTCAGCCATTCTTCGGCCAGCCTTAGTTAATTCTCCATGGTGATTAAGTGCTCCAAGTGCATACAGTTGTTCCAAAGCTAGAACTAATGTCTCATGGGGAGGAGGATCCAAGAAATCAAAATGAATAAGGTCATTGATTCCTAATGCTTTTAAAGTAAGAACAGCATTTCCTAAATTAATCCTCTGGATTTCTGGGACAGTATTATCTTCAAGTTCATACTTATATGCCCATGCAGTATAAAGTCTGAAGCATTTACCCGGTGCCACTCTTCCTGCTCTGCCAGCTCTTTGATTAGCTGATGCTTTAGATATTGGAACTACCATTAAACTCTCCATGCCAGTTTTGGAATTAAAATTGTTTTGTTTTGCAAATCCTGGATCAATTACATATATAATATTGTCAATCGTAAGTGATGTTTCAGCTATATTTGTAGCTAACACAACTTTACGGGCTCCCTCTGGAGTTGGTTCAAAGATTTTTGCTTGCATATCACTTGGTAGGTTTGCATATACTGGTAATATTAACAGTTCCTTAATCTTCTTTCCTAATCTTTTAGTTCTGTCCTGTAACATTTCTACACATGTCTCAATTTCTTCTTGACCTGTGAGAAAGACCAGTATATCTCCTAATGGCTGAGTGGCATGTATTTGCAGAATAGACACTACACTGGCATCTACATAATCAGCTTCTGGAGCTTTGGTGTAATAAATATCAACTGGAAACCTTCTTCCTGGGATACGAAAAATTGGCGCTTCATCAAAAAAGTTTGAGAACTTCTCAGCATCTAATGTCGCACTAGATATAAGTAATTTTAAATCAGGTCTAAATCTAGTGATGTCTTTTACCAAACCAAATAAAATGTCAGTATGCAAAGTACGTTCATGAGCTTCATCAATTATCATAACACTGTAAGAAGCTAAGTCTGGCTCTGATAGAAACTCTCTATGTAGTGTTCCATCCGTCATATATTTAATAACAGTTCTATCAGATGTACAATCTTCAAACCGAATGCTGTATCCAACTTCATTTCCAAGCTTGACATTCATTTCTTGAGCAACTCTTGCTGCTACTGACATGGCAGCAACTCTTCTTGGTTGTGTACATCCAATTTTTTTCCCATCTTCTGTAAATCCAGCTTCATGTAAATATTGTGGAATCTGAGTTGTTTTACCTGATCCTGTCTCACCTTCTACTATTAGTATTTGATAATTTTTAATAGCTTCAATCAAAGAGTCTCTGAAAGGATAAACTGGAAGAGATTTTTTAGTTTCTTCAATTGTCATACGTATCTTTTGATATTCAGATTTCTCTTCATCTTCTTTCTTCTCCTTGTTACCTTCCAATTGGAGTGCTTGAATAAAATCAATTTGTTCATCGAGCAAGAGTTCATACTCGTCTTGTGCTTTTGCATCTTTTGCTCCAAATTTAAAGAATGCAGATTTTATTTGTTCTTGCTCCCACTTTCGTTGTTCTGAATGTGGTAGTTTTTCATTTTCATCGACTTCAATATACTCACCTGAAAAAGATGATTTTACATCTGACTAAAACTATTAAGATAAATAAGTTGAAAGGAATATTATCATTAATTAACACTAACCTTTTTCACCTTTACCCAAATCTCTAGGCATATGATATCTTTGTACATTTTCCAACTCTCTTGCTTTCTCATGCTCCTTGGCTAATTGTAATATGGTTTTCTTGTGTTCTCTCTCCTTCTTCTCCTTTTCTGTTAAACTGAAATTTAATTATGTGACTTAAAAAGATTGCACACACATTATTAGGAAATTGTGTATTATCTAGAATAATGGTATTAAATGTTTTTTTTTTAATAAATCTTTCTCAAAAGTTAAGATCAGGTATAATACTTACACACTTTCATCAAACAGATATTCATCATCAGCTATGTCTGCTTCTAACTCTAAAACTTTATCTTCTTTTCTCTTCTCCAAATATTTTCGGCGAGATTGAACTCTGAGTTTTGGTAGTATTTTGTTCCTGTCGTCCGCTTCCAATTTAAAGCGTTTGGCCGCTTCTTCATAAGATCGTTTACTTGTAGACTCTGTTACTTTTTTAACCTTTTCTTCATCGCGTTTCTTTAATCTCTTTGCAAACTCATCTCGTTCTTTAATGTCCTTTTTCCGCTGTTCTTCTGCGCTATCAGAATCCGATGACGAGTGCTGTCGCTTTCCACGTTTGTCCATCGTGAAAATGTTTATTTACGCCTAGTTTTAAAATTTCAAAACCATTCAAAAATGTGATTCGTCAGTTTTAATCATTATATTCAGTGTCGGGGTATTAAAGTAATTTAGAACGACTTAAACGAATATAAATTTACATTTCTTCCCACTTTCCCACATTGTTTACACGAATTTACTTTGTTTGACATCAATCATTGTCATTCATATTCCTTCAAGTTTTTGACATTAACATCCAGACATAAATATTGACATCTAATTTTTTTTTGAATATATTTATGGTTCGTGGTTCTAATACATGGCTTTCTGCCTGACGATTGGTCAAAAATGTGTTGTCTTTTACGTCTAATCGCTAAGAGCAAGAAACAGATATGAAAATGAAAATAAGTTTCAAGTACTGATTTTAATATTAATAATTAGCTTTTAAAATGGCTAAAATTTACGCTAAAAACTATACTGGCAATTGATGAGTTAAGAAGAGGATGTAATTGTGAAGTATTTTAAACACAATTTAATGCCAACGACAATTTAAATTAAAAGCAAATCGAATAAGTCAACATCTTAGTTATATTTATTTAAATTATTATAATATTGTAATTTGTCTTATTTAAGAAATGTTCTTCACTAATATTTCTAGGTAAGGGAAATGTACATTTATCACACAGTAAAAGAGAAACCATTTTAATTAACTCTCTAGGGTTAAATCATAATTCTATCATAAGTATAATATCGTTTGTGTGCATGTCCTGATTATGTTTTTGTAGGTTTTACTTCATTTTAGCTAATTTAAATACTCGCTCGGTTTACCACTTTGCTCCTAGTCCTAATCCAAATCGTGAAATCGTAATTCAAAAATAAAATGTAACGGTTAAAACTATAGAAATTCTTTGTTTTATAGAAAGGTTACTGTAATAAGTCGGATACATATAAGACATGTCACCAACATACCATTGTGGAGAAACGAAGTCCTGGAAAATGCTTTAAAATTTATACAGAAAAATGTGGAGTTTGTACGGATACACGGACCAACTGCTGACGAGGTAGTTTATGGTTGGTCTATTCAAATAAAAAAAATATTTGAAAAGGCTTACAATATCTTTATATAATATTTAAATCATATGGAATAAAGAGCCAGACTACATTTTGATGTTTAACGTGTTGCATAAGTTGACATAATATTTTATATTCATATAAATTATCGACCATTCGGCAACTTCATAGTACTATTAAAATTGTCTTTGACAGCAATTCCGGTTCTCTGTAATATCTTATTGGAATATTTCTTACATTTCAGGTAACAAGAGATGTTAATTTGACAGATAAAACATGTCTAATAACTGGAGCAAACAGTGGGATCGGTTTAGAAGTAACTAAATGTTTGCTTGCGCGCGGCTGTAAAGTTTTGATGGCATGTCGAAACACTTATGCTGCAAATATTGCAGTAAAAAATATCCCGTGCGAAAAAGCAAACCAAATAAATATCCATGAAGTCAATCTCACTTCGCTTGCATCTGTTAAAAACTTATCTGACAATCTTCAGAAAGAACACAAGTAATTTGATACTTTATAAAAATATTAAACCCGATTAAACATTTAAGAAATATGATGACCCTTACAATTTGTTCTCAGAAATATTGATATCGTTATTTTGAACGCAGCTGTGTTTGGAATTCCATGGACCCTTACTGAAGACGGCTTAGAAACTGCTTTCCAAGTTAATTATCTAAGTCAATATTACTTATTGATGAATATTGAAAATATTCTTGCACCTAACGCACGTGTTGTTTTTACCTCTTCAGAATCCCACAGGTTTTTTGCATGTTTTTATTATTTATACGTAGATTTATCACAACGTTCACTTCACTTTAAATTTTAACATTTACAGAAATATAAATTGGAGCACGCCAAAGATTTTGGCGCCAAGTTTGGAACATCTTTCGATTCCAAAGGAAGAGTATACATCTATCAGAGCGTACAACATATCGAAGTTATGTTCCATTTTGGCGATGCACTATTTGGGGTATCGTTGGTTAAATACAGAAAAAACTGTTTTTTGTGCTCACCCCGGCTCTTTTATCAAGACGAGGTTATGTCGCAATTGGTGGGTTTACGAAGCACTTTACACGACAATGTTACCATTCTCAAAAACCATTGTAAGTCAAAATGTTTACATATTACTGCATATTTGTATATTTTAGGTCAATTGATATTGATATTATTGTAGTTTACTATAATACAATTTTTTTGAGCAGCGTCAAGCCGCGAGCACGATATTGTACTGCGCGACATCGCCGGAGCTGAGCGGCGTGTCGGCGCAGTACTTCAAGGACTGTCAGCGCTGCGAGGAGAGCGACCTCGCCTGTGACATGCACCTCGCCTTTAAAATCAACGAAATCACGCGGGAAATTCTGCGCGAGCGCGCGCCCGCCTTCACTGACACACACAGAGTGCTCGACAAGCCGACCACCACCGCACCCACAGATCTAGACAAAGCGCAACGAGTTAAGGAAAACGTTGAACACGGCCCTCTTATATCCAGTTACACTCATTAATTTATTTTTTATTCATACGTTTGCGAAGTGCGGTTTTCGGTTGCAATTTTAATTTTGTTAGTAGTTAATAAATAAAATATTTCATTCAATATAACACTTTTATTTCGAATATTGAAGCATTTAAATAGAATAGTGTAAATTAACGTGTAATCAAAAGAAAACATTAACATAACTATTATATACTTATTCTATTTCGACGTTTCTCCGCCTGGATAACCGATAGAGAAAAATTCAGACACTTTTCAGTGAATAATATTATACTAGGATAAAAATTATAAATAATTTTATTGAGTATATTAATCACGATATAACATTTGTAATCTATAATGTTTTTGTGTCACCGTAGTTTTTCACATTCCAAAACATTCATAAAATACTCTTTATGTTTATTATGTTGGCAATAATATAAAATCAAAGATTAAATTTTAAAAGTGAAATCTTTATTCAGATTTTTTTCACTTTTGATAGTATTGTTATTCGATAATATTGTGATATTTTGATAGAAAAATGAGTGAGTTGAAATGTTGAGAATGTTTCATATATGCAAACTCGGAGTAACATCAATATTAAGTAAAAAGTATAATAAATGCTATACTCGAGTAAAACTGAGAACATAGATTTGGAATTAACATCAACTTGAACGTGATTGATGTAATTGTTAGATAAAGGATAATCCGAGTGTAGCAAAGACTCCCTTATATAAGTAATCAACGAAAACATTAAAATGTACGCACGTTATATTTCTATATAGCTGTAATAATAAAGCCAAGAGATTACACATAATAAATGCTTAAAATACATTTCTAATAAGAATTCATTTGTATATAATCAAATCTGGTTTTTTAAATGCTTTTCCATCAGAACATTTTTTAATTGTTTTTGTAAACAAAACCAGATCTGATTATGTACGGTACAATTGTAATATAAATTGCCACAAAGTCTCTAATGTAAATTAACCGTGCGTTTCTGAGACCAACATTTCTGTTTAAAATATATTGATATCTCTGATGTTTCAAAGATAATGACAGCGATGACGACGTGTTATACATATATTTTAGTCTCAGAAACCAACGGTTAATGAGAGAAATCTGAAGGGGTCTAAGTAGCCAGTGGTGAGTGAGGAGCGCTAGTAGAGCAGGATACGTTTCTCGACGTGCTTGCGGCAGATGGGGCAGACGGCGATGCGGTCGCCGCACATCTGACACATGCCGTGCCCGCACAGGAAGATCATGTTCTTCAGCCGGTCCAGGCAGATGGGGCACATCGTCTGCAAACAAATGTTTATCACAATTACCACCACATCGTCATAAACATACTTTAATCGGCGGTAGAAAACCTTGTGTCATGCTTGCTTATTGATTTATTTTATCCTCTATCATTGAATATTATGGTAGGAGCAAGTGTAAGTCGACAGTTAGTGGTATGGTATTGTACCTGTTCTTTGATGTCTTGGAGTTGCTGTTGCAGTTTTTGTACGTCGGCGGGGGGTTGTGCGGGGTGTGCGGGGGGCGCGGCCGGTGCGGGGAGTGCGGCAGGGGTGACGGTGGGCGCGGGGGGCGCGGGGGTCGCGGCGGCGGCGGCGGCGGTGGCGGCGGCAGCGGCGGCGGGCAGGGCGGAGCGCAACCCGTTGTTCATGTGGTGCGGCGCGGCCTGCGTGGGCGCCGGTTGGCCCTTGTTCACTTGAACTTGTGCCAAATTGCTGCTGCTCTCCTTTTCCACTGTGATTGAGTGAAGGTAAACACATAAATATTTGTACAATTTCCAAGTCAATTGAAGGATATGTACGTATGAAATGTAAACTAACGCGACGGCAACGCCGGCTGCTGCAGCGGCGTGCGACACTCGACGCACTTGCGCATGAGCGGGGCGCAGGCGGCGCAGGCGCACACGTCGCCGCACGGCCGGAACACCACAGTGGCGGGCGCCTCCGAGCACACCACGCACTCGCCCACACGCTGTCGTCCGCTCACCGCCGCGCGGCACGTCAGGCACTTCTTTACCTACAATTACATTTTTATTAATATAAAACCAACAAAATGTTACATTAAACCCAAAAATGTAAGGAATTTGTGCAGCGTACCCTGGCGGCACAGACATTGCAGCAGCATATGTGTCCGCAGGGACGGAACATGGTGTCTCGCTTGGCATCGGAGCACACGAGGCACTCGTCCGCGGTGGGGTCTGCGGCCAGGGAGGGCTCGCCGCTGGCCGGGTCCGGCACGGCAACGCTGGTGCTGGCCACGGCCACAGGTGCGCCCGCGCCTGCGCCTGCACCCGCACTCGCGCCAGCACCCAGCGAGCTGGCCTCGCTCTCCGCCGCCTCGTCGGTCGTCACTCCGGAGCCTTCCTTGCGGCATGTCGTCAATGTCTTGCGCAGATTAGGATCGGGGCACAGATCCAGTGGAGTTTGCCCTGAAATCAAAAAACTTTGCCATATTATATTTTGTATGTATTGAATCACACGAACTTTCCATCAATGAGTCACCAGCTGCAGTAGTTTTAATACCTATTTTACATTTGGTGACGCCCATGAATTGACTATTGGCAGTTTGATACCTTTTATATATATTTAATTAAAGATGATATATATTTTTTTCTGGAATATAAACGTTCATCATTTATTATTTTGTTAGTGGTAAAAGAATCGCAATAAATTTTATTTCCAAATCGTCGTATTAAAGCGAGCAGCCGGAAACTTTTTGCGCTTGTCGAAAAAGTTTTATTAGCAATTACCGGGAAGCAGTTGAAGGTCTGTAATGTATCATTTTCCTCTTGTCTTGTTTCCTTATCGCGGACTCATTTTATGGAATGGTTACCGTTGTTTTTCAGACACAGAAAAAAGAATTCGTAAATCATGAGCAAATGTACGCACGGATGAGCCTTCTTTTTAATTTGTGTCCGCCTATACATATAACTCAGTACTAGGGAATCGTGTGACAGAGAACAGAGACCTTTCTTGTTCTTAAGCGTGAGGTCGGCACCGTGCGCAGCCAGCAGACAGGCAATGGAGGCGGAGGATTTCTTGTCGTGCGCGTGCGCGAGCGCGCCCAGCGCCGCCGCGTCGCGTGCCTCCTGCAGCCGCCGCAGCTGCTGCAGCGTGTGGTGACGCAACGCCTCATGCAGCGCCGTGTCGCCGTCCTGCACCATATACAATCTTGTTACACGTTACAAAGTCATAGATACAATCTTGTTTAGGTATAAACAACTTTTGTTCGGAAATAAAGACTTAAAGCTATACTGTGTTGGATAAATATAGGGAGGATTTCATAGTTCAGACAACAATTGATTCGATATGATAATAATTCGTATATTTTTTACTTGTAGCAATTTAAACCTAATGTTTCAAATATTGGGACTGTATTTTACAAATTATATGCAAATTGCCAGCCTGTTTCCGAGCGAAAAGCATAAAGTTAATGTTTGCAATATGTTACATAAAGATGTCTAGTCTAAACTCTAACAACAATGCACAGCAGGAGGTAGAAGGTGCATAACAAGTGACCGGCCTTCGCCTGCCGCACCGCCGCCGTCGTTCACGCTACTGCAATTTGTTTTACACAAGCACGTACTATACTGCACAAGAAAATTTGTCACAACTACAAAAAGATGAGAAGATATTTACTTTTCCCAAATTATTCCTTTCACATTCCAAAATTATTTCCAAAGTTGATGTTCTATTTAGATCTTAAATATGGCGGAATGTGGTAGATAAAATACTGCCCTATGGTAAAGGTTTAGACAGATTTTATTGTGTGTGTGTGGTTGCGTTACCTTGTCGCAGATGTTGAGGTCGGCGGCGTGCGCGATGAGCAGGCGTACAATCTGAGCATGTTGTCGCTCGACGGCGAGGTGCAGCGCGGTCTGCAGGTTGGCGTTCTGCAGGTCAGGCCGTGCGCCCCCGCGCACCAGTAGCTCGGCCACTTCGGCATGGTTGTTGAGAGCTGCTAGATGCAGCGCTGTGTACCCGTCATCCTTCGCGTCGTCCACAATCCACGGACGGGGCAACTTACCAAGCATTATCTTCATAGCGCTGAAACAAAACATTTTTTCGAATTTTGTATTGTACTAATAAAATATTGCTTTTTATTGACTATTTTGGATTATTAACAATGAGGTACAATTTATTACAGTTAAAACATGCTGCAGTATGTTTATTATCTATAGCTCTCTAGAGAATAGCGGTTAAAATAAAGTAACAAAAAAGTTGAATTAAGAGAAGTCGAAGCTTGGCTCAAGTTTCACGGAGCAATCGAAGTTTTAACACCCCCGCATGGCCAGTTTAAATCTTGAAACCCCCTGCTGAGACTTATTATTAACTTCTATCCAATTTTTGCCGATGTATAAATATAAATATTTGGAATACGCTACGGTATGAAATATGAAACAAGTTGTGAGAAATATGTAAAGCGATTTATGATAAACGTTCAAAGACAATTTTACTAACAATCTTGCAAATTTCTTGTTTAAAAAATCGGAGATAGTTGAACAGAAGATACAAAACATTTTTCAAATACTGTACACGTAATAAGGCGATTGGCACTTAACTATGTAATATGAAATACTTCGGAAACCAAAACATACAAGGGAACACCGTAATAATATAAATTGTGTCGACCGATATGGGAGAAGTTAGGATATTCGGCGCGGTAACATAACGAATGTTCATGCCCTGCGGTGAGTTAGATACTCATAGCCTGAGATAACGGCACTTTCTACTTACGGTCCACAATTAATACGTAACTCAAATTTATTGCCTTTTCGTCTATTACGACGTATTTTATATATAAGATTTTATTATTTCAGAAGCCAAACTATTATCATTATAAATGTAATTTTTATATTGGAAACAAAAATAGACGTAGGTACTCGTTGTAAACCTCGGTAAACATGTTTGGATATATATTGTATTAATGTTTTAATAAAACAAATTATTTTAAGCTTGTACGGTCAGCAAATATATCTATATATTTCCGAAGCTGCAATCATGACGTGGGCCGTCAAAACCGTGACATCGCTAGTTTGGTCAATTAATCCGTGAGCGCTGAAAACCAAAAACTAATTGATAGTTGGCAAAAATAATTGGAAGATTTGTATGCGATGCATATCTGATGTTAATTGTCAGAATGGCTAATTGATGGCTTGCATTTGTTATGAATTATTATTTTAATTGACAAAATGTGAAAAATGATGTTTTAGTGATGAAATCTTAGTAATAATTTGATGAAATATTACTTTTTGTATAAACTTTTATGCGCTGTAGAAGTCTGAAGTCGAAGCTGCTAGAAAGAGTGTTTTTTGTTAGGCCGATCGGCCGATTGAATTTTTCCCATTAAAACGATTGATTCTATGAATTCGAACGGCCCAATGACCCACCAGAAAATAAACTTATCAATTATCATAAATAACTATCTTTCTTTTAATTCAATGTAATTGCAATATGAAGTCTAGATGCAAAAACTGATGGCTTTATAGAATCAAATCTCTAGAATCCTAAACTTATTTTATATTTCAAGTTAAGCGAAGCGGCTACTCTACTTGTGTGAGTTTCAAATTGTGATTGATTCGGTCTATTGAACCGTGAATCCTGTGTTTGATCCATATTCGAAGACGCATATATTGTAACTTGGAATTCATATCAGTTTGAAAACTCAAGAGATGTTTATTTTGAAGTTAAGAACAATCATATTTGTAAGACGTCTACAGTTACAGGTTACAGTTTGCCAGAATAAGTAATCAGTTAGCAAAAGTGTGCATTTTTACATTATACTACAAGAAACGAGTCTGTGACGCTTCGTAAACAAAGAATTTCCTAATGTAAGTATATTAGGTATTTAGAATGATAGTATAGGAAAAGAAATTCAGAAATTTTCTTTAAACTTCCTTACAACATAGTTGTAAAGTTATTTAAAATAGCCGTTGCAGAAATCGACACCGGTGAGATGTGAATGAACTCGGATCAAAAATAGATCAAGACTTTGAATTTGTTGTTAACTGAATTTAAATGCAGCGGCTGAACTGATCTGTGTTTTGAGTTTCTCAGTAAAACCGAACTCTAATCGATTCGTTTATACATTTTGTGAAGCAAAGAATATCATTTATAGGAATTTGAACTGTCTGTTAGTTGGTAGTAATCATTGTGTAAATGGCAACAAAGAATTAGTTGGTGTACATTTTAATATGCTCGGTTACGTTCGAAGAGTAAAAACGAACGAACTAATTAAATAGGGTCAAACGTCGTCGGGCGTCGGCGGCGCACGCTCATGCGGCGCTGCGCGGCGTGCGCGTCTTGCTTTGCGCAGGCGCAGTCGCCCTCCACACGGCTTGGGCGCGCCTCGTGCCCCACGCGACTTCTCCTGTCTCCGTACGATATGTGAAAAGACAACATTGTACCACACAGTGATCGCATTGGAATTGAAACGTGACTCAATAAGCAATTGATAAGATTTATACGACAGTGGTAAGTAATATCGGTAATGAAGGTTGTCACAGATTTAACGTAGCTTCATTAATTTAGATACATTTCAACTTGTGTCGAAACATAATAATATGGTAAAGTTTAATTCTTATTACTTTTTTCATTTGTTATTTTAGTTGATTATATGATAGTAAAAGGTTGAGCGCGTAATTATTAAATGGTGACTGTTTAAATGAAGTCTAATGTATTGAGTATGTGTGTTGTGCCGCGGCTGTAAAACGTTGATGGCATGCACCGCAATGATGCTGCGCTTCGTTCCTCGCTTCTTAGTCATATGACGCCATTGAATTTTTTTAACCATATGTTTTTATCGATGAACAGCTAGATATGTAGTCTACTATTTTGAGTGAACAGAAGCTACATTTTAAATAAGCATATTTTTAACGGGAAAGAAATATTATTAATATAATCATTTATCAAATTAGCATATGAAAGACGACATATACTAAATTTTACAAACCATGTACTGAGTACCGAGTGACGAGTATTGACTAATTCAAAATCTAAATTGAATAATTGCAACTTTGCTTAGATTAATTATAAATATAATTCATTCTGTTTACTTTGCTCTGGTGCATTTATAACTGTTATGGGGTTGTCTAAGAGACAGACCAGAGACAATTTTAACTACACTTTATCATATACATAACATCACAAATATATAAAACATATGTGATTTTAAGTGATAACTTAGTGAACGCAACCCTTGAAACAATCAGATATTTTAATGTAACTTTCAATGTTATTTTACAAAGTATACAAAATACGACAGCATACTTTGTTATTAAAACGTTTCAATTTGTTACCTCAAAGTAATTACTGTAGGAAATAGAAATAATTTGAATTCAGTTCAGCGCTATACAAAAACGTTTACGTTCGCAGCGGCGAAACTTTCTCTTATATAAGGCAAAAGCTTTTTTTTATGTAATAGCTAGGAAACGGTTTGCAGATATTCGGTAAGTTAGGGAAATTTACGAGCGACCTGAATCCCGGTGCCGGATTGTCGATATTGTCCTAACGGTGGAAATGCAATGAGTACTTACGAAAAATTCAACAAACTTTTTCTTACAATATCTTTAGAGTAAGCTTTCTTATTCTTTTTGACTATTTTTGGCTAGTTTTATTTCAAGATTGTTATTGTATATCTATCTTTGAGTTTAGAAACATTTATTAATTAGAAATTAAATATCTATTGATATACTATCATACTTTTTTTTAAATATTAGCAGTTTTTTTTTAATATTTCTTTTACCATCCCAACTAAGCTGTAGGCTTGTGCTAGGATATGGTTTACGACAATAGTCGAATGGCGGGATTCGAAGCCCCAACCTCGTGATCGGAAATCCGTACCCTTAACCATTAAACTATTGACGTTTTTTTGAAGTAACACTTTCAATTCATTTTTCTATTGTTTTTGAAGAAGCCTGTCTTTTGAACGTTTCACTTGAAACATTATTGTTAACTTGAATTTGTATTTGTCAAAGGAAAATGATTAAAGAGTCGAATAGGGTTGTGAAATCTGTCATATTTAGACCCACGTCAAACAACTTTGGGTTCTTGGCACAGTATGTTTAATTTAAAATTTGTTGTTTGCGTATGTAAATCAAAATAATATGTTTTATAGATCTATGATATTTGTTTATATCAACTTATTCACTATTTTTGGACAGTTTACAGATTGTTTGAAATAAAAGTCATAGTTTTAAAGTGAAATTTCGCATTTTATTTACGTTATCTGTTCCAAGCGACTTCGGCCACTTGTAGTTTAAAAATATAAAACATGTTTTATTCCATCCCTAGACCTTTTATTTTTTACCATTTTTTTTTATTTTTGGCTTACAATTTGTTCGTAAGCTTAGTCGAATAATGAAATTCAAAGTTCATTCTAATGTTTTTTTTAATTCAAACGATCCTAATGAACATTAAAATGGTGTGTGAATGCAACAAGACAATGCACCCAACGTCATTTGAACACAATACTTAAGAATTTGGGCAGACTAAATCATAGCATACATAATCATTTTATTTTCATAGGTCTTCTTGTATTTGATCGTTACCAAGACAAGATAGTTATACGTACTATAAGTATTGGACTTATATATATTAATTTAAATGACTTTGATGACGTGCACTCCCTTTATCATTAATCTATTTTTTTTAAATAAAATATAAAATATTACCAGATTATTCATACTTTAAACTAGGATACAGTTCGCATTAATCGAATATCAGGACTCGAACTTACAACTCCAATATCTGTAGTCCGGTTAGTGAAGCAGTTGCTGCGATTTGGTAGTAGTTTGACAAATGTCTAAATATATTTCGAAGCGCAAAAATTTCCCACAAAAAAGTACTTTAATATACATATAATCGGCTACGTAAATTAAAAAACGTGTCGGGTTAACACAAAATTAAATTAAATACATATAAAGGGCCAATGCTCAATAATTATACAATTTAAAAACATATATTCGGACGTCAAAAGCCAAAATCACTTTTGACATCATGGGATTGAAATTCATTTTACTTTGAGACATATTTATGTTTTTTTTTTAAAGAATAGGAAGGTGTGAAAATTTGGGGCGGTTAATGTGAACCCACTGCGCATGTTCTATTGTGATTTGTACTAAGAAATTTTCGATCCATAATACATATTTTATTGTATAACAACTGTAGATGTTAATAATGTTAAAATTTAAACAATGTATTCTTTATGCGAATTATAAAATAATGCGTGGAATAATTTATATTTCGGGACGTGTATATTAACTACGATTTTTATTTTACTTAATTGTAGTAATAACCGTGTTGTTTTGAATCAAATAAATCTCCTGGAACAGGGAAATTAAAAATACCATTGGCGGAGCGCAGAGAGAAGCGCGCTGCTTTATGTAAAATATACAGTGGTTATAAATCAAAGACCGAAGGCGGGCGGCGCGGCGTGGCAGCGTGGCGTTGTCTCTGATGCGCCGTGAACGGTCCATGAATCACCCCGCGCCACTTCGATGCATCACGTACTTGGAAGCCGATTAGAAGCCCGGCTCCTCGCTTACTTTAAAATTTTATTTAATGAATAATTTAGAGGCAGCCGCGACGATACATAATTTACACGGTCAATACGATACGTGCGGGCGACGTAAGTGATCATATTCCTACGACAGCGAGCCGATTCCCCGCGGATCCGGAATAGTAAGTTATGGAAATGTGCGATTGGGGCAGCACGGACAACTGCGGCCAATAACAATGTCGCATTAATATTCAACAGGCGTTCTTTGGACGTTTTTATTCCGCGGCCAGCTTCACCATTCTTTACTCTAGAGCACAATTTGTATTTCTTATGAAATTGCAATGGATCCATAAAAATATATTCACCGGACGGAGATTAAATTGCGATCATCTCTACTTTCATTCTTTTCCATTATTTTAAAATCAAAAGTGATAGCTTAACTTCAAACATAGATTTTATATTTATTTTATTCGATTAATATTCGTACTTCGCACCGGTTGTTAATTTTGTACATCATTTAAATCAACGTAGCTATTGTTTAACCATCAAGTTCTGTAACTTTGGTAAAAAAATATATTTTATGTTTACAAGTTTGAAGAATCCTAGTATCGAAATGCTAACAAAAGTACGTTACTTTGAGCAGACAAAAGATGACTTGGCCGCCGTCCCACTTGTTTGTCTACAAAAGTTTGCCAAAATTCTTTTATTGAGTGAGCGGGCGTAGCGGCGCGCTTTACAGCCGGCGGCGGAAATTCTCGGCTACATTACGTCGCCACATTACTTCGATAGTTTACCCCTACGCTTATCCTCATCAAATCCATAGTATTATTTTTTCACATACAATCTTTGTACATTGTCGATTGTTGTCTCTAGAAGAATGATTTTTTTATGCTACTAATGAACGACTGAATTAAAATAAATGTTGTCTTAATGTTTCAGAGGTCAGTGAACGCAAAGGATTGCCAGATCTTATGATCTGGCCTATGTATAGGCCGACTACCCCGCGGGAGGTGACGGTGGTGGATGGCGCGCAACTAATTATAGCCTCCCCTCCAGCGAGATGATGGCACGCCGACGGGAGCGCGCACATGTGGCGCCCGGCGCGGCGGCTACGAGCTCCCTGCCCCGAGCCTATGGTTATTTCCGATACGGTCGCCAAGCGGCGCGGTGAGTGGCGCGCCTTACATAAGAGACTCCAGCGCGCGACTCTGTGGTTCGCAGCAGCGGCCGGCCCTTGCGCCTCGCGTGCAGCCACGCCGCTAGCTGCAGGTCGCTGCACGTTCGGGAAACCGATCCGACGGACGCCCGTCGTCCGATCTATTTCGGGAAAATACAAATTTGGAATGGACGGCACTCGCGACTCGAAAGCGAACTCCGGCGGCTGAATCCATTTTTAGAGGTGGCGTGCGCGTGCGCAGCGATCGCGTCGCCAGTGCCGTTCGAGCTGCTCGCCGGGTCGCAGGCGCGCCGCGGCGCCGCGACCCTCTCGCACGGACGGCCCTCAGGCCCGTGACGCGCCCTGCCCTCGCCCCGGCAGCGCGGCGTCATAACTAATGGCAACACCGACCGAGCCAGTGCAAGAACAAGCGGTTCGACAGTGCAACATATTGAAGATAGAAAATTGAGCCTTGCGCTAGTTCCGTGCTTCCTTACTTCCCATAGTGCTATTATTCATATGGAATGTAAAGAAGTATGGAGCTGCGCGGGCGGACCCACCGCTGCGGATCACTGCTACTTTCTTACGTGACATCCAACTAATGGACCTGATTTGTGCTTAATGTTACAAAGTGCTATTCGAATAAAAACATTGTTACGTCATCTTAAAGTAATATTATCTATGTTGTTCTGTGATTTCTGAATTAATTCGAAAAACTGAAATTGACAGTAAACCGGTTTAAAAAGTTTTATCGATTCAACAAAATAAACAATACTTCCAATTTCGAGTCGACAGTGTGCGGTTACAAAACGTTTAAAGTTGAAGTAAAAGCGGGAATTGTTCGTCGGGTGGCGAGTTGTCGTAAAATAACATCTGGCGCAGAGTAGGTAGCGGTTCTGACTAAGGAAACATAAATAAACGTGCCTCCGACGCCGGCCGGAGCTCGAAACTTCTCCTGAGACCAAAATTATATTTAGCTATGGAGAAAAGTATGGCACGCCGTCGATGTCCGAAAGATCTATAAAGCAAGTTATAAAGATTTGACAGTTCGATTTAATTTCAAGTGAATCACTCGCGAATTAAAGAATACAAACTGCATAGAGTTGAAAATTAGTTTTAACACTTTCTCATTTCAGTATCATACGATTTATACGTGATATATTAATGTAAATAAGTAAATCATTAAAACAGAAGCAAGTAGGTGTGAACAGGACAGAGGTAGAAATGTGATATTGTCAATGTCAGGGTGTTAGCAAAAAAACGGGCGGGAGACAAAAAGAGTCGGTCGGTGTGCCGCGCCTGCGCCGCATCTGGGGCGCGCCCGGCATGCGACCTCTTGCCCACCCATTTCTGCGCTCTTAAGAATCGTACTGCTTTGTTTCCTGCATTGTTTCAACTTACCTCATGGCACATTACAAATATTAGTGGATGCAACCAAATGTTCAAAACGGATACGATCCTTTTGTATGCAACTTCTTTTTTTGTACCATAAACGATTCCGTCGAATTCATTAAAATAATAATACAGCATAGTATATCCACAGCCGTTTTTTGTTATTTATTTATTATGTTTCAGACTTTTAGAATTTGCTTGTCGTATTATTAAATCAGAATCAGTGTATATAAAATGTACACTTAGATTATTTTTGATTGTAATATTGTTTAACAACATTAAAGAGATGATCGTCAATAATATTAGTTGAATGATCTTCGTCAATTAAACAAATTGCTTCAAGTTCGAAGAGAATTGAAAGGAATGTTGATAAAGCAAGTCTGCGTCAACATTTCTCTTAATGTACATTAAAGAAAAAGTTTGCGTTTATTGTTTCACTAGGCGGAGGAGTTGGACGTGGCGGCGGGATTGGGGCAATGACAGCGCGCGCGCATTACAATGAGCGGCTCTCAGGAGGCGAGAGGCGCGCCGCGGCGGGCGCCACCGACAACGTCTCGGACGCCGGGTCCGCTGTACGACGTCCGCCGCATTCAATAGCGCACATCGTTCCGCGCTATAAACCCGGGATCGACCCGGCCCGAGCCCTTTAATACAGCACGCATTTAACTACGGCACAAAGGAGCGCTCTATGAGAAAGGGATCTTGACCTACCAGTTCCTGCATAATGTTCGACTTAAAAATATCGCCTTTGAAAAACAATTTATTCATGCATCTCCGCAACGACTATTTCTAACAAAAGAATACGAAACTAGACAGGGGGATAATGAAAGCTAGTCAAAGCCATTTTAATAGAGTTACTTACGTGCAATTCGGTTACGTATTATTTTTTTAAACATTGCATGGGTGAATAGTGTGTGTGTCCGAAGGGGTAAATAACATAATAATAATATTTTATAATATTACAATACATTGTTTAAAAATGTTAGTTGCTGTGTGGAAAATTAATGTGTTGCTATAAAATAGGTTCTGATTTAATGTTCCAATGAAGACATAAAGCTCTGGATTGGCCAGCGATCGTGTTATGGCATCGCTTCTCGCCGGCCAGTGCTAAAATAACCAGCACAGGAATCTTTGGCAGAGGTCCAGGTGCGGCGATTTTCTCACTTTTCCATTCACGTGTATTTTAAATTTAATATCAACTCATATACAATTTCATTACGTAGTAATGTAATATGAATGTTTCTTTCAAAGTTATTTTGTCGTAACGAATGGCATACATTAAATTATTTTTAAGCTCCGTGTGCAGAGGTAAAATGAACATAACTGATACATTTAGAATAAAAAGTTAAAAACCGTACGTGTAAAACGGAGTGAATAAAAATTAAGAGGTGAATAGAAACAAAATTTGAAAAGCCTTTTCGCCGTAATATGATTTTTGATATTACTGATTTTATTTGTATAGTAAAACGCAATTTAGTTGATTAACTAACAAAAAATCATGCAATATCATGGTGTAAAAACTATTTCTAGCTTGGTGTCTGTTTACATCTCGACTTCTATTCATGCCGATATTACGATATGCAAGTTAATTTAAGATTGATTTTAGACTAAAAGGAACTACAAAGATGTGATGTATAACATTATTATATAAGATTTTTCTTTATCCCTAGTAAATATTTAGTTAGTAAATTTATTAGAAGAACAGCAAGAAATCAGAAGAAAAATTCGGATTTTAACAGCTACGAATTTATATTTTGTTAAATATGTTAAATCGCCGTTCCAATTATTAAATAATATAACGTAATTAATAACATATTTTTGGTGATCCTTCCCTCCTATCCCTCAGAACTTGATGACAAAATATGTTTGATGAAATATAAATATTCTAAACATATTATCATTATGCTGCTAAATACGATAAAGCAAAAACATTTTACTATGGTTATATCTAAAGCTAAAGGAGGGGTATGCCCAGCAGTGGGCATCATATGGCTGAAGAGAGAGAGAGAGAGAGAGAGAGATAGAGAGATTATTAGAAATGCATAGCTGAACAACTAAAGTATCTTATGTACCCAGCGGCAATATTCACATCAGACATCTTTTGGAAGTATCACCCGTCTAACTCTTTCTTCCCGTTTTAATGTATGTGTCTAAGAATGAGGCTTTCATTGCGATTTTGACGAGTGAGGTGTGTTGGAATGTCAAAGGTTACAATAATTACAAGTATGGCATGTTTTTAGATGCATTTAACAAAAGTTAAAGTTACAAGCTAATCGTTTTAACATGCTAGTCAGTCATACAATTGGTATTGTGGTCTGTCTCAAAGCAGTTTAAGATTATCTATAAATAAATTATTCTATAAATTATTTATTCTATATAACAACTTGTCTTATTAGTCACTAAGTAACTGTATATGTATATTGATACATAACTTACTTGTTAATATATAATCTTAGTAAATCCTTTGAAGACTACTGTTACAGGAGACGACATAACAAATTAGATAAGTCGTCATAAAGAAAAAGTTAAATAGAAATATCGAGTATAAAAGAGTACCTATTTTCTTTGATACCAGAAAGTTATCTATTAAGCCTGGCAATATTAACTACAAATGCGACATCTACAGAAATGTATTCAGTACGAAACAAACGTTTACGAACCAATAGCAAGTATTTTCACAATTATCCAACAGATGGCATGATCAAGTTAAAATAAAATTGATTCATCGATGCTGTTCTTTTACAACTCATGATTTCGTCCGGTTTGTTAACGCTGAATCCAAATTTATGACATAAATTGCTCATTTAATATCTTGGACTAATTTGACATGGTGATCAAATTGTCTATGACATTAAATGGTTATTGTTACTATTTGCATTGAAAGGCGCTGCTGACAAATTTTCAGCTTCGCTAAACTGTCTTGAAACTAGGGGCTTTTGGGTTAGTATATTTTTTTTGCTTTGTACGTATTAATTAATTTCACCCCAGTAAATAACTCGTCGTTTTAATATCTCTATAGATGGTCTTTATGAAAATAGTAGCGTACATTAGCTGTTTCCCTAATAGTTATTAAAAGTATACGGGTACGTTGAATTAATTTTAAGGGCCGTAGTTTACATATTCTGCAGAGATCTATTAAACAATGTTTTCGGTAAGCGTATCTTAAATGAGTAATTAGCAGCACATGTGGCAGGCGTGTCGGGGCCGGGGTCGCTCCGGGCGGGAGACAGGACCAAGCCAACAAGCCATCAGTAACGCGCCGCCTGCCGCGGACTGCGCCGGCCCACAGAAAGGATAATAAAGCGATGCTAAATTATCTTTTAAAACAATTAGCCGCAACTTATGCCTTTGTTGTACAGCCCTTTAAGGTCTTTGACCGGAATGGCGGCGGTACGAGCGTTTAGAAACAACCTCGTAAATATATATTTTTGGAGCATTTTGATTGTAGAGAACTGAGATAAATTTAAATTAGAACAGTGTAAGCTTTTAAGACACGTCCACAGTAACAGAGCACAGTGCATGAGCTCGTACGACTCGTGTATTCAAATTAATCATGAGCTCGCGCACGTCTGCACTCATAATCACGCAACAGCTACTCAACGCGTGTGCTTCTTGTACGCACGAACACATAAATAGCATGATTTTAATCAAAATCAATTTACTTTTGCATACATACTTATTAGTAGATTACAATGGTAGTGGAAGAATTGTATTCCGATTATGACGAACTGGGAGGTGGCTTTCGAAAATTAATCTGTAGTATAACTACATGGTACAAGTAGTTGTAGGTAAAAAAGGGGATATTTAATTTATTGATTGCAGATTATTATCATACTGCAGGGACGAAATGAATTGTAAAATATGTTGTGCGGTGTAGTGGCATGCGCTTGTGTCATTAACATTTATTAGTCGATGGGGGCTCGGTGTGCGTTGTGACGTAACGAGCGTTTGATCACCATTAAAGTATCGCAATTTAATGCCGCCGCCACTTTAGTTACAACTTTTAGACACCTATATTCAAGGCTAATATTATTAATTTGTGCTTACAATCTCTATACAATGACCTTTATTCTTTAATGATTTCATCAATCTTTGCGTGTATCAAGACTTCAGTATGTAAATTACATCTAAGATCACTAAAATAAGTGCACAAGCAGTTTTTACTGTCACTTTGGTAAAGACGTAAAAAGATGCTACTATTTGCTTTATTGTGTAAATATACCATTTCGTCTTTCGTCAATTCACGTTCTTATTCCTCACGATAAATTTATTAGATGTCGTACGTAGTTTAATAAGTCAGTAGCCTATATGTTTCTCTAAAACCTTTTATAATGAATTATTTTTATTATACCTTATATATTTTACTAGATAGCTATGTAATATATTACGTCTAGTATATGCCAGTAGATATTATCATATATAATTAATCTCTCCGCGCTAAACAAGATGTATGTGTATCCACGTTCGGTGCAAATTACTTAAGTTACCATAAATTATGTTGGAAAGTCAATGGAGCTCAATAACAACGTCTAAATTACATACGTCGACATTATAACTAAGTTGGTAAATTGATCTTGGTAGCAACGTATTTAAATTACCTTAATAAAAAAATTAATGTCGACTTTCTTAACATGTAAATGAGTAAAAACTTGCGTGTACAGAAGGCACAAAGAGGAGTGTTGATGAATTGAAATAGAAAGAAAAGGTTCTCGAGGAATTTTACGTAGGAAATAATCCCGAAAGCGACCGACACAATTCCTCATTTCATTCACGTTCCCCCGCGATGAAACTTTTTCTCTGCAATTTTTCTGTAGATGGCGGGGAGATATCAGGTGGGGAGTGTTGCCAGTCGCGGCACGTAGCTCTGGCAACCTCCCGAGCCCCGAGCCCCCAGCACACTCCGAGCCCTCCGCAGCCCGCCCGTTGAATACAAACTTCATTAGCTGTTTGATAATTAGCCCGTTAAACGCCTCTCACTCGCTCACCATCTCTTGCTTCGAATGCCGTCTTCTAATCGTCTGCATCTAAGCGGACGCAAAATAATAAATACAATATTGCAAATGCAATAAAGCAAAATAAGAAGACATTAAGACAAAATTTAAATGATTGTGTAAACTTTAGTGAGACATTATACTAAACTGATATATAGACACGGCTAAACACTCACGTATATTCGTATCTGATTGTGGTCTCTCGTAATTGTTTGTATGCCACAAAAATCTTTAGTCTCTGACAATTTAATTTGACTTCTACAAGTAGGATTTTATGTGACGCTTTATCATTGGAAGGGTTTCTTAAATTAATTATTTCTTGTATAAAATTTACGTGACAAACATCTTATGTTATTTATTTTCTAACAAAAGTATCCGCTGACGCTTAGAATTTAAATGTTGTATTGTTGAAGTAACATACACAAGCTATTAATTACCGGTAGTATAAAAATCCTTTTCAAGGTTCCTGTGAGTGCTCTGAGTGAGAAACAAAAAAGAAAAGATTGATATAAATAAATGTAAGTTATCACACACACACACACACACACACACACACAGTGGGAATAGTAATTTGATACTTATAATTACTGGTTTTTACATCTACTCAGCGGTTAGTGTATGTGAGGACAAAACAAAACTTACCGAAATTTTAATTTTTCCTAACCTAACATAACAATTTTAAGGCCTTCTTATTTACAAATAATTAATGTAAATACATAACTAATTTTTGTTGTAATATAGAATTGCAATCATCAGAATACGGATGGCCGGTCATTGACATTGAAGTCTAAAATAAAAACGTCTCATCGTGCACATTTTATAAAACAATTTCATTGTAATTAAAAAGAACTTGATGGAAAATGTCTGAAATGAATCATTTAATTGTTCATTAGAGGAGAATACTAAAGAGGAACTTCGCAAGTGACGGAAAATAAAATGCGACAATTTAACCGGAACGTCAACGGAAGGAAAATTCGAAACAAAAGAGCCATCCGCCGTCTAGCTGCGATGAACTTAGGAAAATTAAGAAACAATGGGTTACGAAATGTGTTTTCTTTAGAACTATCGCAGAAGTACTGGGTACTTCGAGTTTTACAGCTAAACTGGTAGGGAGGCCAATGATACTACGTGCTATAAAACTAAACTCGATACAAACCGTTGCTTTAGCTTAACCTCTAGTGTTAGCTAAGCAAGTTTTAGGATGTACATGCACTAGAATATGTTCTAGTGCACTAGGATATTAAAACTAAGCTTAATGATTATTATATTTTTTTAGACATTATTAGTTAGAATCACTTGGCGCGAATGGCGCGCTTTCGTTTCAAAGTCCTGTGTCAGAATGATTAGAGAGGGGACATAAAC